CAACAAACATCGTCAGGGCAAGTTAGAAAAAACGAAGATCTCTGAAATGACGTTCCGTGACAAGGAGCCGGAATAAGTTACGGGGCTGGCGGCCTCGGGCAGGCGTCTCACTTCATGTTCTTCACAAACTCCTCCCCCTTCTTGATGGAGGCTTTCAGCTCGGGAAGGGCATCGGCGATCATCCTCTCCTCGAACGAGGACACCTTGCCGATGCCCAGGTTCTTCTCCAGCCCGTTTCTCTGGAGAGGGGACAGCAGAGCGCTTTCATTACGCTGCCGCACACGCCACCTCACCGCCGCCCTTACACTACCTTCCCACGGCACCACTCTCCGGGGAGGCCGGGGGAACCAGGGCTGGGACATGGCTCCTTCCAGGGTGGCCGCCCCAGCCAGTGCACAGCAGGAAGGGGCGGCCTGCTTTCATAGAGGATGGTCATCACCGCTAACTGAAAAGCTAAGGCCCTACCCCACCCCACCCCCCGTCCCCCCCAACCACCTCGCCCTGCTATTCCCCCAGGCCCTGGCCACCCTATCTGTCTGGGAGGCAGGACTCTCACTACAAGGCTCCAGGAACAGTTCCTGCTCTGCAAGAGTTACCAAAGTCTCAAGTTTCTCACCTACAGAAAAGCAAACTGCTGTTCTCCAAGGGGGTTGTTGGCACTTACGGGGACGAGGGGACTTATGGAGATAAGGAATTGGAAGGTCCTGCAATCTCTCCACAGCTGCCGACAGCCCCACAGGGTAGCAGACTGAGGGGTGATCTACCCCGACAGAAAATACACTTGAGGCCCCACCCCCTCCCCGCGTATGCAAAGGATGGAAGAAAATCCCCCTTTAATTGTCATTAGAACCCAATCTAACTGGCAAACACCCACAATGAAAACAAACTGAACAGCAGGCGTGGCCAGTTTCTGCCTACCACTTCTCGAGGTCAGAGGGCACAGGCAAACCAGCAGACGTGAGCGTTGCTGCTGCTGTGAGGCCACCTCCCGCCACTGCTCTGTGCGCCCTTCCTGCCGAGGCGGTCGCTAGCTTGCTCTCTACACAGGTCCCACCCACCCAGCAGCCAACGACGTGGCTTGGTGTCTCCCTCAGCCCACGGCCATGTCCTAGGAGTCTTGGGACTTAGAGGTGCTGCCCCTGGGTGGAGTCTCAGGGTAGCTGAGTGAGGAGACTGTGGTCAGATCCACAGGAAGTCAGGAAACCGGCCTCAATGTGAGAACCCTGGGGTTCCTCTTCACGGCCCCCCAAAGTCAGGCTGAGCCGCACAGCAGGAACGGCTGGGTTTGATGCCACAGGTCCCCCAGGACACTCTCCCACAGGGATGCAATCCCCCCGGAGAACACGGGGGAGGGTGGACAATGGGCTGGAGTGGCAAGGCTGCTGGTTGGCCACCCCCAGCTCAGGCCCGTCTCATGGGGGCTCGGCCACCTCAGCCACACGGTCCAACAAGCACCAGGAGTGAGTATCTGAGAAGGTACAGAAGCCTCCTGGGGGGCTGCCAGGACGACAGGCCGGGCCCCTGGCCTTCTCCCAACTCCAACTGTGCAGCCCAGCCACCCTGGCAGAGCCCCACACACGCAGGCAGGGCTGTGCAGTGACTGCACACAGGCACTCGGAATCGGGGCGCCAACAGAGGGCGGGGAAGAGCAAGCGCCCAGATCTTGCAAGGTGACTGGCACCGCCTGGCCACCCTCCACCCAGAATACGCACCCCCAGCAGCAACGGGGTGGAGAAGTAGGCGCAGTCCGTCTCCTGGGACTTCACAAAAGAGCACTCGATGACGCCCTCCTTGCCGTTCAACGCGTCCACGATGGAGAAGACGAAGCGGGCCCCGGCGTAAGCCATGGACAAGGTGGCAGAGCCTGGGGGGCACAGACGAGTCAGGCTCGCGTGCCACCTGGAAGGCTCCCCGGGTTTCCTGTTTGGGCTGAGACCTGGCCAGGACCACTTCTTCAAAGCACTCGGAGGATTCGCTCGCCAACCTCAA